GGCCTCCACCAACAGTCCCACAGCCTCTATCAACAGCCCCACAACCTCCATCAACAGTCCCCACAGCCTCCATCAACAGTCCCACAGTCTCCATCAACAGTTCCACAGCCTCCATCAACAGTCCCCACAACCTCCATCAACAGTCTCACATCCTTCATCAACAGCCTCACATCCTCCATCAACAGTCCTAAGCTGGTTCAAAGCTCAGGTTCAAATCCTGTCTGAGATTCACGGCAAAGTGTTGTCTGTAGCCCTTTCAAAACAAGAGACCAAAATCCAGGCTAGGAGGGAGTCCTGGTTCAGCAGGCTTCCCCAATTTCTGCTGTAAGTGTCTGTGAAATGGGGGACCCTCCCCTCAGTGCCTTTCCCTCTCCTGGGACCCGCTCACACTACACCCTCTTCCTAAGTCCCCAACCCACCTCCTCCTGAGAAAAACTGGATATGGGAGGTGGGGAGGGAGCCGGCCACAGGAGGGCTTTTCCATGGCGTTAGATCAGGAGGACAGTTGGGGTTCCCTCACACATTCCTCCTCCTCCAAACTCCTGACAACCCCCAATCGGTGTCTGAGCCTCCTCATTCCCTTGGCGAACCCTTAGTGATAGTTTTGGTAACTTCCGGAATAAATGACAATTATTAAGGAATAAGGAATCAAATCACAGGGCTGGAGAAATGGTTCAACAGTTAAGAGTATTTGTTTCACTTGCAAAGAACTTGTGTTCCGGTCCCAGCATCCAGTTCACAACGACCTGCAACTCTAGCATCTGGGGGGGGAATCTGCTATCTCTGACTTCTGAGGCAACTGCACTCAAGTACCCTCCCCCCCAAAATATATCTATATATACTATACATAGTTTAAAAAAATCTTTAGGGAAGAAAAGCAAGTTACATACATTCATATGCAATGACACAGGGCAAACAGAAAGGGAGACTACAGGAAGGCATGGACCACAGAACAACAAAATCTGAGGGAACATTAAATTCTATACTTTCTGCCCAGAGCATCAGAGTTCTCCCAACTCCCACAGCCCTGCCCATGGTTTACAGTTTAACTCACAAGGCCTCTCTCTCTCTGGCTCACTCCACTTGTTGCTTGTGGATTCCACGTTCCTGGCATCTCCAGCATCCTGAGGTCACCTCTGCATTTAGGCTTCAGTGTTACACATCACCCATAGGAGACTGCCTGCAGGGATCTACTCACCTCTGGATCTTCCTGGCTTTCTTTTGAAGTCTGGGTGGAAGCCTCCATGACCCCACAACTATTTTTTTTTAATTTATTTATTATTTTTGTTTCATGTACACTGGTGTTTTGCCTGTATGTCTGTATGAGGATATCAGATTCCCTGGAACTGGAGTTACAGACAGTTGTGAGCTGCCATGTGGGTGCTGGAGATTGAACCCAGGCCCTCTGGAAAAACAGCCAGTGCTCTTAACCACTGAGCCACCTCCCCTGCCCCATCCTTCAACTCTTATATTTTGCAAAACAGACCACATGGTCGAGATAAGGTCAGTCCTTCATCTGAATGTGGCTGGGCCCTCTTAGACAGTGGCTTCAGGAGTCTGAGGGCTTGGTAGCTCAGGAGAGTACAGAGTCCTGGAGAAACAACTTCTGAGATGGCCTGTGCTCAAAGGGCACCCAGAGGCACTCACTTCTCAAGAGAAAGAGTCTCAAATGAATTTCCTCTTTTATATCCTTCAGCCAGCCACGGCTGGGTGCACCTAGATTTTCTTCCACTCAAGCCCTATGTTGGATGCCAAAAAGCTGTTAGCTGAATTTTATTCTTTGTTCTTATTCTTTGTTCTTTGGTCTTTTTGGGGGGGGGGGCTGCCACCAAGTTCCCAAATAAATCACACACGAATCTTATTCTTTCTTATAAATGCATGGCCTTAGCCTGGCTTATTTCTTGCCAGTTTTTCTTAAATTATCCTGACTACCTTTTGCCTTTGGACTTCTTCCTTTTCTTCTCTATGTCTTACTTTCACTCTTATTCCATGGCTGGCTGGGTGACTGTGTGGCTGGCCTCTGACATCCTCCTCTCCTTGTTCTCCTCCTATTTATTCTCTCTGCCTGCCAACCCTGCCTATTCCTTTTTCTTGCCTTGCGATTGGTCATTCAACTCTTTATTAGATCAATCAGGCAAAGAATCACAGCTTCACAGAGTTAAAACAAATGCAACACAAACAAAAGCAACACATCTTTACATCATTAAACAAATGCTCCACAGCATAAACAAAGTAACACACCTTAAAATAATATTCTACAACGGGTGGGGTCTGGCCAGTTCTCAAGAACTGGCCCCAAGGCATTTTTCCTATTGTACCAATGCAAGGGATTTAGCTTTCAAAATTCTTTTATTAAATGTCTCTGTCTGTCTGTCTATCTGTCTATCTATCATCTATCTACCTTTCCATCTATCTATCTGTTGTAGTGGGAGGAGCAGGCTGCATAAAGGGGAAATGGTGTAGGAGGTTCTTCTTTCTATGTGTTGCTTTCAATGGTTGAATAAAGAGACTGCCTTGCCCAGCCCTTGGGTGGGTGGAGTAGACAGAACAGAATGTTGGGAAGAAGGGAAGTGTGGCATACGTCATGAATCTCAGGCCTAAGACAGACGTAGGCTAGAATCTTGCCGGTAAGCCACAGTCACACGGTGATACACAGATTTAACAGAAATGGGTTAATCAAGATGTGAGAGTTAGCCAATAAGAGGCTAGAGCTAATGGGCTAGGCAGTAATTTAATTAATACAATTTCTGTGTGGTTATTTCAGGTATAAGCTAGCAGGGCAGGACGCAGCCTGCCGCTCCTCTTACTACAATCTATCTGTTGCATGTGTTCGCATGCACATGGGAATACATGAGCACAGGTCATACATGAGCACAGGTCACAGGACAACTTACAGAAGTCATTTCTCTCCTTCTGCCGTGCACATCCTGAGAATCAAATTTAGGTCACCAGGCTTGTCTGTTTGTGCCTGTGTACAGGCATGTCCAGAAGAGGACGACATGTAACTACAGATGATTACATCTGCCTGGCATGGGTGCTAGGAACTGAGCTCCAGTCTTCTGCGAGAACAGCATGCATGCTTAACCTGTGAGCCATCTCTCCAGCTCCCATCTTGACCGTCTGTAGGGGCTCTAATCTCTTCAGAAACTTCCCTGTAGTGGCATTTCACTTGTATTTTAATAAATAAAGCTTGCCTGAAGATCAGAAGAGTAAAACAGCCACACTGATCAGCCTTAAAGACCAGGCAACAATAACACACATCTTTAATCTCAGTAGCCACACTACTGAGATTAGTAGTAGTGGTGCACACCTATGATCCCAGCCCTAGGAAGGATTATAAAATGGGAGGAGACAGCTCTCAGACAGTCTCATTCTGAGGTTTTCTGGAGGCAGGATTGCCATTTCAGATTGAGGTAGAGGTAAGAGCCAGTGGCTGGCTGTTTTACTTTTCTGACCTTCATGTTGAACCCCAATTTTTTTCTCTGAGTTTTTATTACTCATGTTTCACTTTCCCTTCAATTCCCATGACTTTTCTGATTGAACAGCACTTTTTAATTTTTAATTAATTAATTAATTAATTAATTAATCTATCTGGCTTTTCAAGACAGGGTTTCTCTGTAGTTAGTTTTAGAGCCTGGCCTAGAACTAGCTCTTGTAGACCATGCTGGCCTTGAACTCACAGAGATCCACCTGCCTCTGCCTCCAAAGTGCTGGGATTAAAGGTGTGAGCCACCACTGCCTGGCTTACACAGCACATTTTGAGTCTACTTTCTGATCTTCATTTTCACCATAAATCTGGCTAACAGTAGCCAGTAATAACCATGCCACAGCCTGAATTCTGACCTACCTTGACATTCCTTCTACCAAACCAGTTATCTCATCACTGTTAGCCCTTCCTCAAAGTCTCAGAACACAGACAACATGAGAACAAATTCTTTGCCAGCATCTCACAGGAGTGGCGTCTAGTCCGACTCCCAGCTCAGTCCTTGCTCCCGGCTGAAACCACGAGCACAGCTTCAGTGTCTGCATCTCCATGGGCATGTTTGCCTTCTGAGCATCTATCGGAACTACCTGTTAGCTCTGGTGACAGCGTTCTACAAATTATTTAAATTGCATGTCACTTTTTTGTTTGTTCGTTTGTTTGTTTGTTTTGAGACAGGGTTTCTCTGTGTAGCCTTGGCTGTCCTGGATCTCACTCTGTAGACCAGGCTGGCCTTGAACTCAGAAATCCACCTGCCTCTGCCTCCAGATCTGCGTGTCACTTTAAAAAAATAACAAATTAATGTGTGTGTGTGTGTGTGTGTGTGACTGTGTGTGTGTGACTGTGTGTGTGTGTGTGTGTGTGTGTGTGTGTGTGTGTGAGAGAGAGAGAGAGAGAGAGAGAGAGAGAGAGAGAGAGAGAATGTGCGGGGTGTCCTCCTCCACCACTCTCCACCTCTTCCTTTGAGGCAGGGTCTCTCCCTGAATCTAGGGAGAGGTTCTCTCTGTTAGCTTGGAAGCCAGCAAGCCCTAGAAACCCTTTCTTCTCCCATCTTGGAGCTGTTCACAGATGTTGGCTAGGACACCCAACCTGTTATACGGGAGTCGGAATTCAAACTCCAGTCCTCACGCTTGCAGAGGACACGCTCTGAGCCACGGAGCCATCTCTCCAGCTCTAATTCTTTTTATTTATTTCTTTATTTGTGCTCCCCCTGCCCCTGCCCCCTGAGCGTGGGGACCCCAGGGATGCACCACACTTAGCCCTGCATTTCCAGATTTTTTCTGATAAAGCAGAGAAGAGTCGGTGGTCGGGTTTAGTAACCTCGATGACTCCATTCCATATGCTTTTCCTGTGACAAAGAAAACTTAAAATGAGGAGGATTCTTTTGGCTCATGGCTTCAAATGCCTCAGGAGCAAAGTTCCTCGCATCACAGCAGCCAGGAAGCAGAGAGAGGCGGCCAGTACCCAGGTGGCCTCCTCGCTTCCTCTCTCCCATCTTGGCCTGGAGCTTACTGGATGTTGTCACTGAAGGTAGGGGGAACCTTCCTTCTTCCCCAACTCTCCCTCCCACACGTGTGCAATTACTAATCTAGGTGCTTCTCCATCCTGTCACATTAACAACCAAGACCGACTATCAGTTGGGCCTTTAATCTCAGCACTCAGGAGGCAGAGGCAGACAGGTAACTGTGAGTTTGAGGCCAGCCTGGTCTACATAGTGAGTTCAAGGTCAGCCAGGACTACACAGTGATGATACTGTCTAAAAAATAAATAAATAAAAACAAAAACAAAACAAAACACTATTGAGCTGGAGAGATGGCTCAGCAGTTAAGAGCACTGAGCATTGATCGCTCTCCCAGAGGTCCTGAGTTTAACTCACAGCAACCACATGGTGACTCACAACTACATATAATGGGATCTGATGTCTTCTTCTGGCATGTAGGCATGCATATAGACAAACATAAATAATTTTTTTTTAAAAAAGTGACTATCACTCACAAGTGGCTTCAAGGGACACATATCAAGAAAACAGGGTGCCATTGAGTCCAGTAGATAGATTTGGGTTCCTTCCCACGAGGCACTAGTGTGGGTCTACCCCAGGCAACGAACAGAGAACAGTTGACAGGAGGAATTCTGGGAAGTGGTGTAGGAGTGAGGAGTAAGGCACAGCAGAGGAGGGGAGAGGAGGATGGAAGGAGTGGGGGAGAAGGGAGTTAGGATACAGAGAGATCTGGAGCAGGGTAGCAAGTTTGTATCCTCCTGATGGACAGGTGTAAGGGAGACAGAGAAGTCAGGAAGTCTCCCTGCCAGTCCTCAGAGGCAAGCCGAACCAGCCACAACCAGGGAGAACCATGGTTCAGGGTGAGGTGGAGGTCCCTGGGGAAGACTGCATGGAGGGAAACTAGGGATGGCCAGGGGATCCTCGTGGTGATCAGGAGGGATGCTTTGAGTGATCCCAAGCTTTTGAGAGGATGAAGAACTGTGGCCCATCCCTGGTAAGGAAATGGGCAGAACCACAGAGGTGAGAGACTTCACGGGGAGTAGAGTAAGCTGGAAAGAGCAGCGTGGAAAATCAAAACATGGAGAGAGGGGGCTGGAGAGATGGCTCAGTGGTTAAGAGCATTGCCTGCTCTTCCAAAGGTCCTGAGTTCAATTCCCAGCAACCGCTTGGTGGCTCACAACCATCTGTAATGAGGTCTGGTGCCCTCTTCTGGCTTGCAGGCATACATGCAGAAAGAATATTGTATGCATAATAAATAAATAAATAGTTTAAAAAGAGACATGGAGAGGGAGACAGGAAGAAATGGGAGGAGGAGGAGGAGGAGGAGAAGGAGGAGAGAGAGAGAGAGAGAGAGAGAAGCAAGCATGCTGGTGCCCCACACCCTGGACTCCATCACACTCACTCGGGTGGGCACTTGGACCTGGAGCCCTTCCTTGGAGCCTTGGAGGCTGTTCTAGCTGCCTAGGGCTATGAACTATGAACACCGGAAAGGTCACGAGAAGCCAGGCTCAGATGCAGGTGCAGGGGTGCATGGTGGACATAGTGGCGGCCCTGGGTCCCTGGAAGCTCAGAGGCTCACAAGAGCCTCTCTTGGCAAGGAGCGCTGGAAAGCCTCAGCCTGCTCTTCCAAGCCACCTGCTGCCTGCTGCCCCTGCCAGCCCTGGATGCCTGGGGGAGCAGCAGTAGAAACCATTTCCCTGAACTCCAGCTGGGGAGGGGAAGCTGGCTGAGTTGATGGCTGCTGCTTTTCTCTTTAGTATCCTGTACCCAGCAGTGGGCAGCCAAGCCCCACTGTGTCTACTATGTCCTCTCAAGTGCTGCAGAAGCCAGGAGAATGCCTTTCTCTGCATGAGTGTGCTCTGCTCCCCATGGGTATGTTGTGCTCCTCATGGGTGTGTTATGCTCCCCATGGGTGTGTTGTGCTCCCCATAAGTGTGCTGTGCTCCCCATGGGTATGTTGTGATCCCCATGAGTGTGCATTGATCCCCATGAGTGAGCAGTCACACTCAACACTCAGGACATTCTGAAAGCACATGGAGGCAAACACAGACACCAGCACATCCGGAAACACCTGTGCACTTAGAGTCGCTGAGTGTGTGTACATGGGTGCAGAACTACACACGAACATCTGTGGAACCATGAAGGTGTTCACAGAGATGGTGAAGCCACACAAAGAAGCACATAAAGATACACAAGCACATATATTGTTCCATACTCACCCGTCTCTGCATCCATGGGGAAGTTCATCTCACAGGCAGGAGTGTTTACCCACACATAAATGCAGCCTGAAAACCAAGTGCCAGCAGATACACACAGGCACGTGCAAGACACACACAGGTGCCAGTGGGCATAAATATACACAGGTGTGCCAACCCACGCTCAGGAGTGCAGAGATGGAATGGCGCGTGCACACACGCACACACACCTGTAGACCCATATCAGGTACACCATGCCACAGACACAGGCATCTCCCTGCTACACCTGCAGACGTATACATGGCCTTGTACATGTCTACAGATACACACTCAGTGGCTCCTGAGTTGCAGAGAAGCCCTGATTCTCAGCACAGACATTCACCATGTGGAATGGTGAGAACTCTCGCATTCCCACAGAAGGTTGCCCCAGGCACTCTGCGACATCCCAGGTGAGAACTAAACCACTACTCGCCTGTCCTAAGCCAGGGAGCGACAGTCTTTGCAAATCACAAAGCCGTCCTGTCCCCCAAGACAGTCTGTCCCTATATTTCCAGGAGAGACACCTACCACCCATTTCCTCACACTCTCCAGGATTCCAGACCCCAGAGGGGAGGAGGAACAGCAACCCAGCATTCCTTTGGCCCCTTCCATCTAACGCTGTCTCCCTTTGGCACCAGGCCAGGGCAGCTGTGACCAGCAGAATGGCTAACACTTATCTTGTCCCAGAGGAGATCAGATCCTGAGGACCAACTGGCTCTGTAGTGTCCATTGTGGGAAAGGCCAGGAGAATTGGGAGAGAACCAGAGGGTGGACCTGCCCCTTAGACCCAGCCCATTTGCCCATTTGATTGACTGACTTGGTGGGGCTTTGCTTTTGTTAATAAAGATTTTTTTTAAAAAAAAGACTTAACTATTTTATCTTCATTGTTGTCTGTGTGTGTAAGTGCATGTGAGTGTGGGTGCCCAGGGAGGCCAGAAGAACATAAGTACCCCAGAATGGGAACAACAGGGGGTCGTGATGCACTTTGTGAGGGTGCTGGGAACAGAACTCAGGTTCTGTGCTTGTCTCTGCTCTCAACTGCTAAGTCATCTCTCCAGTCTATGGGTTGGTTGGTTGGTTGGTTGGTTTGTCCGTCTGTTTTGTTTTGAAGTTTAGGGGAATTTTATCACAGTTTAAAAGAAAACCCCAGCCAGGCTTAGTGATACACACCCTTAATCCCAGCACTCCGGAGACAGAGGCAGGCAGAGCTCTGTGAGTTCGAGGCCAGCCTGGTCTACAGAGTGGATTCCAGGCCAGCTGGGTTACATAGTGAGACCCTGTCTGAAAAAAATCAAAGAAATAAAGCAGTCAACTTGCTGCAGGGCAGTAAGCTGCCAATCTCAGCAGCTGCCCAGAGAGGGTCGATGGAGAGGCAAGAGGAAAATTCATGGCCTTTGAGCCTGCATGGAAGTCAGCCATGTCGTAGACCAGCAGCCGCATGGTAGGGATGGGGGCCTTAAAGAAAGAGTGAAAAACCCAAAAGAATCAGGGAAATAGTAGGACCGAGGCTCTAGCCAGCATCTAAAAGAAAGATGGAAGAGAATAGAAAGCCATACCTTCCTGAGTCCGGATTCAGGACAACAGACAAACCCAGCGGAACCTCATGGTGGCTCTGTAGCAACCACTTGGTCTGGTTTTGAGACAGGATTGCTTGTAGCCTAGTCTGGCTGCAAATTAGCTACATAGACAAGAATGATCTTAAGCTCTCCATCCTCCTGCCTCTGCCTTCCAAGTGCTGGGGTTGCGGGCAGACACCACCACCATGCTCAGGTCTATGGAGAACCTCTCACATCAGGCAAGCCTTCTACCAGCTGAGATCAGGTCCAGCCGTGCCTCCAACACAGGATTCCTGCAGTTCGAGTGGACTGAGACAGCAGAGGCTCCCAGTAGAGGAGCTGGGCTGAGCCTCCCTGCTGTTCAAACTCCTCCCAAATACCCCCAGTTACCCCAAGCCTGTGGTCTTTCCACCCTGCCTCTGGGCAGCACCTGCCCCTTCCCCACACACTGGCTTTTTTTTCCCAGCTGCTCTAAGCTGTCAGTTTTTGTTCAAGTTGGCCTTGGTGTCCCCTGGTGACTGACCTTCCACCCAAGCCTAGTCCCTCAGCCCCTGAACTCACCACAGGTTTGGGGAGACGTGTAGAGAGAAGGCCCAAGTCTTGCCCCATGGGAGGGAGGGGTTGTCCTGTTCTCAGTGGCACACACTCTACCCAGGTTTCACGAAAATGTGCAGTGTTGGCAGGCTGGTACATACCTCAGTTACCACAATTCAGGAAGCAGAGGCAGGAGGCTCAAGAGTCAAGCTAGCCTGGGCTACACAGAAAGACCTTTGTTGTTGTTTTAACCCCACCCACCCACCTGCGGCTGGCAGGGGTACAGTAGTACCCAAAAGAGCCTCAGGAGAAGCAGGCCTACCCCCCCACACACACCCCCCACAAAGTTTAGAAGGTCTAGGACAGTGCAAGCTGCCATCTCTCCCACACTTCCAAGCTGCAAATCTCTGCGCAACAGGGCTAAGGTGCCCAGACTAACTCCCCCAGCCTCTCCCCGTCTCCTAGCCGTGTTCCGGGCTCTGGAGTGTTGAGGCCCGCTGCTCACTTGTATGTCCAGCTGTCTGCCTTTGCTGACTTGGTTTCCTCATCTGAAAGGTGGAATGTCATCTCTCCTGGAACCTCTGCAAAGAATCGGTGCTTTGTATATATTGTATAAATGTCTGACTTGGGTCAGACGGCTCAGCAGATAGAGGAACTTGCCACATAGCCAGACAACATGTGTTCTGTCCCCAGGACCTGTACTGACCTGGGGACAGACACACACGTGCCACACACACACACACACACACACACACACTAAGTAAATAAATGTAAACGATAAAATAAATCGTATAAATGTTCCCAACAAGCCCGCCAGAGGCTTCTTTCAGGATCAAGATTCAGGAACGACCTCAGCCTGGGCTTACAGCCGAGCAGCCTGAGGCTCAGAGGATTCTCGAACTTTCTCAGGCTCCCGGACACACAGTGCGCGAGCTGAGCCCTTGGCAGTGGTAGGCTTGTGGAGGAGGGCAGGGCGGTCAACTGAGCTTCAATGGGCGGCGGGGTGAGCGGGAGCAGGGGGATGCCCGGGAGTGCCGGGGAGGCCCCGCCCCCGGGCCCGGCCGGGGTCTGCAGCCGTCAGCGTCGAGCGCGGCCCCGCCGAGGGATCGATAACTAATTTCAGCGCCGCAGCCGCCCGGGTTTTTTCCCGATAATTGCGCGCCGGCAGCTGCGAGCCAGGCCCCCAGCCCGCCGCGCGCCCCCGCCCGCGCGCGATCAATTGACACCGCCACCGGGCGCCGGGAAAACTCATTTTTCTCTCCCTCCCCGGCTCCCGGTGGGCGCGGGCTGAGCTCACGGTGGCCGGGTTGGGGGTGGCCGTGAGGCCTGGGCGGAGGCGTTTGGCTGACCTTCTGCTTCTCCAGAGGGGACCAAAGATGCACCTGCCACCCCAGGCTGGAAAGAGGTGGTGACGGGAGGAAGGACCGAGAACGCAGTGGGTTCAGGTCTAGACTCGACAGCCTACTACTGAGTGCCTCGGTTTACCTCTCTTCTCATAGGGTTCTGGCACGATATTAGGCAAGGTAGACGTGAGGTGGCGTCCCGGTTGAACCACTCAGTGAATGGTGTTGTCAAGAGCAGGGAGTGCTTTTTGGTTCCCAGCCTGGCTTTGAGCAACTACGGTTTGCCAGGCCTGGTCCAGGAGTTTCTAAACAGAGAAGCCAAGAATCTCCACCTCCCTGCAACTGGCTTCTAACAGTAGGATGTGTCATAAAGATAGCGAGCGAGGAGGAAACAGTGAGGGAGACGGCAAGGGCCAGCGGGTGGAAATAAAGCCGAGGTAACTGGGATACACTGGGTCCGGACACCTAGCCAGTACCAACCTGCAGGGCTCAGCTCTTAGGCCCCTCCCCGAGGCTCTCCCAGGCAAGCACGGAGCTGCTGCCTGTTCAAGGTCGCAGGAAAGCTGCAGACTTGGCATTCTCTGTGGAGGGAGGGCGGAGGAGGGAGAAGCTGGCTGTGGGTGGGAGTCTCCCTATGGGAGAGTCCACGAGATGGAGAGAGAAAGGGAAGGGGGCTAGAGAGCAGGGTGAGGGTGGGGGTGGTTACCCACCGACAGAGAGAGGAGAAAGAAGACAGCCCTTGCCTGTGGTCAAGGACTCCTGGAGCCTGGGGGCTGGGCTCCAGAGGGAGGTTGGGGGACCACCCTAAGGTCACAGGAGGCGGAGTTGGGCTCCTGTGTCCTGCTACCCAGCCCTGGAGGAGGACAAGAGAGGCCTAGGAGAAAGGATAAAGAGGAAGCAACTCGGTGGGGAGGGTGGGGGTTTTCATTGGGCAGAGGCCACAGGGCTTCCCGGGAGCCACGTGGAGGATTGAGGATGACTGACAAGGCCTCCGGGAATCAGATGTGCTGACTGGCCCCACCCCACCCCCAGTTTCCAGAAACCCAGCAAAAGAGGCTTAAGACTCCCCCTGTGGCAGTGAGGGAGCCAGGCAGGGGTAGAGGCTCCCAGCTGCTGGGGAAGTGGTGAGGTCAGGACTCCGCCCTGCCTGCCTCAGTTTCCTCATTTCAGGGCTGAGGGTGAGGTCCTGATGCTCTCTGTGTCTTCCTTTCTTCTGTGTTACCAGTTCTGGGACAAGCCCAGGGCAGTGACTCAGCCAACAGGAAGAAGGAAAGGACTGGCAGCTAGGGTGCTAGCTGTGCTTGGGACTCAGGACAACAGAGAACTGGGTGTCACCCTCTCAATGGACCGTTTGCACACCCACCCATCCACTCATCCATCTAACTGTTCTGCCTAAATATTTACTAGGTTATTTAGCAAGGATTGGGTAAGTGTCTGCTATGGAGAGGCCCCATGTGCAGGGTCAACACAAGACTGCAAACTTCTCTGTGTCTCCCTGCCCCGTTCCTACACATCTACCTTCCTTGTCCTTTGGAATATGATCAAGAACACTAGAAAGAGGCAGCAATGGACTTCAGCCTGTCATGTGACCTAGGCAGGCCCGGTGAACTGTCTGTGTTTTGATCGGTCAAGGACCAAGAGTGGAGCCCTTGCCCTGCCTGGGAAAGGGTGGCCCTAGTTAAACAGCACTGGGTGAAGACCTTCCACCTAGGATGTCGTCCAGACCCTCAGTCTGTCAGAGTGGAAAAAGGGACCCAAGACCAAGGGCGGCGCAGAGTCACGCAGCTAGGAGGCTGGGAGGAGTAAGCTTAGGTCTGACTGACCCCAGAACTTGCCCCTTACCAGGGACCATGGCATCCCAGCCAGAAACTGGCTGTGAAGTCTGAATCCATTGCCCTTTCCCTCGGTGGCTCTGGCTGCCAGCCATCTCCAAAAGACAGCAGCTGCTTTGCATGACCATCTGGTGACTTTGGCCTCTTGGACATGCCCTGGGCCAGGACAGCAGGCAGGCAGCACTTTAGAGAGACAGGAACCCTGCAGTCCAAGCTGGACAGATGGGTCAGCCCCAGGAGAACCAGCCACCTCTGCTGTCCTGTGCTGTGCCCTTGGGTGGTCTCAGTTTCCCCAGGTGTAAAACGGCATGGTGACTGGTTCAAAGGAGTTCACCACGCTAACTAAGATCAAGGGACATATGTGATGACTAGAGAGGGTTACAGTAGGGAGGGACAAGGTCATGATGCCCGCTGGTCTTCCCTAGAGCAATGACTTAGACAAGGTCATGATGCCCACTGGTCTTCCCTAGAGCAATGACTTAGACAAGGTCATGATGCCCACTGGTCTTCCCTAGAGCAATGACTTAGACAAGGTCATGATGCCCAGTGGTCTTCTCTAGAGCAATGGCTTAGACAAGGTCATGATGCCCGCTGGTCTTCCCTAGAGCAATGACTTAGACAAGGTCATGATGTCCATTGGTCTTCCCTAGAGCAATGGCTTAGACAAGGTCATGTTGCCCGCTGGTCTTCCCTAGAGCAATGGCTTAAGAGATAAACTCGAGCAAGAAACTGGGCCCAGCTCGATGAGCTGAGAGCTAACCACAGTGGTGGTGGTGGTGGTGTGTCCTCGGACACTGGACACATGGTCTCTGGACCCGCCACATCTCCTGTGTTTCTCCTTGCACAGCGCCAGTCTGCCAGGTTGACATCTTGGTTACTTGGGAACAGGAGGGAAAGGCACAGCACAGGACTCACTGAACTCAAAGCTACAGCTACATCTAATGACAAAGAGGTCTTCAAGCCAGGACCAATGGGCAAAAAAAGGAGCTGCCATTTCTGTGTGGAAATTATGCATGAAGGTTCCCATGCAGACTGCCAGCACCTCGAAGTGGCTCTTGGGAGCAGGGCCAAGCTGGGCTGCATAGGTGGATCAGCAGTTCCAAGCCTCATGGCCCCTCTTGGCTCGGTGGCATAACCCAGGTCAACTGTGAAACCAGCCCCTGTGGCTCAGGCACAATACATGACGCCTGTATCCGCATCTCATCTCCTTCTCTGATGCCACCAGGTGAAAGGTACTGTCCCCATGGAAACCTCAACAGTCACACAGAGGTGGACAGAAGAGAGGGCTCGAGCCCAAGTACTGAGAGGCATGTGTTTGACATGTTCCTGTCATGAAACATGACACACATGGCTGAAGGGAGGAGAGATTTGATCTGGGTCACAGTTGGGGGCTACAGCCCACCACGGCGGGGACATCATGAGAGCAGAACCTTGAGTTAGCTGATCACGTTGTGTCACAAGCAGAGGGATGGGTGCTTACTCTTTAGCTCTCTCCTTTTCATTCAGTCGGGCAGTTAACATAGATCAGCTCAGTTAACCTAATCCAGATGATCCTTCACAGGCATGGCCGGAGGCTCGGCTCCTTGCTGATTCTAGACCCTATCAATATTGCATCCAAAATCAATAGTAACTGTTGCAGAGGCCTTTGAACAGGCAATTCTGGTGGTTCCAAGGGCTGGGCCCTGGCTTTAGCCATGGAGAATCAACAATGCATGTCCACATTAATTCTCTCCCCTGCTGCCTATTACCTGTCTACCCTACCCTTCACCTTTGCTCCTAGGGGCACACACCCCAAAATACTAGGTACACCAGCCCTTTTTAAAGTCTCCTCCAGGAGAACTTAGACCAAGGCTTGTCATGGCGGGGGGTGCGGGGGGCAGGGTGTTAATCTCAAATAGACAGGTTGAAGTCCTGACTTCCAGTACTCAGATTGTGAGACTCAGGGAGGTTTGCCTATAATCCCAGAAAGGGAGGTAGGAACAGAAAGGTCGCAGGTCATCCAGAGCTACTTAGTGAGTCTGAGGCTAGCCTGGGCTACGTGAGATCCTTTCTCAAAACAAACAAACTACAAAAAAAAGTGGCCACATTTGGAGATCAGGAATATGGTCTGAACATCACCTTCTACTGCCCCCTCTTAAACTTCTGTCTCTATTGTGGATGCTATTCAGAATAGTGGCCTGGGCCAGTGGTGGTGGTGCATGCTTTTAATCCAGCACTCAGGAGGCAGAGGCAGGCAGATCTCTGTGAGTTTGAGGTCAACCTGGTCTACAAGAGCTAGTTCCAGGACAGACCCCAAAGCTACAGAGAAACCGTAAAAAAAAACAAAAGAGGGCTGGAAAGATGGTTCAGTGGTTAAGAGCATTGCCTGCTCTTCCAAAGGTCCTGAGTTCAACTCCCAGCAACCACATGGTGGCTCACAACCATCTGTAATGAGGTCTGGTGCCCTTTCTGGCCTTCCAGCATACACACAGAAAGAATATTGTATACATAATAAGTAAATAAATATTAAGAAAAAAAAGTAGTGGCCTGGGCTGGAGAGGGAGATGACTCAGGGGTTAAGAGCACTTGCTGTTCTTCCAGGTGGCCAGAGTTTGGTTCCCACCAGCTAGATCCATAGCTTACAATCACCTGTAACTCCAACTCCAGGAGATCAGTGGCCTCCTGTGGTGTCTGCGCTCATATACATATATCCCTCCCCACATACATACACATAATTCGAAATTTTATTTATTTATTATGTATACAATATTCTGTGTATATGTCTGCCTGCAGGACAGAAGAAGGCACCAGACCTCATTACAGATGGTCGTGAGCCACCATGTGGTTGCTGGGAATTGAACTCAGGACCTTTGGAAGAGCAGGCAATGCTCTTAACCACTGAGCCATCTCTCCAGCTCCCATAATTCGAAATTTAAGAATAAAGAGGGAGGGGAGATGGCTCAGCAGTTAAGAGCACTGGCTGCTCTTGCAGTTCTCAGCATGAACATGGAGGATCACAATCATCTAAGACCTGTAACTCTAGTCCCAGGGGATCCAACGCCCTCTGCTGGCCTCCATGGACACTGCACACACACACACACACACACACACACACACGTACATATGTACGTACGTACTGGGAGTTATGGTGGTCGGATGCTTAAAAGAAATCCCACACTGGCTCAGAAATAAGAAATATATAGGCATTTATTAAGGGATAAACTCACAAATCAGAATTCTCTGCTTCACCGGTTGAATCCCGCGACCCAAAGGAGCAGTTGACTGGCATGGAGCAAGGGGACCGAGAGAGAAGGGGCAAACTCACACTGGGCTTCCCCCGTCAAGATTGAGAGGCCACACCCCAGTAGGCAGACTAATACAAGTTGTAATACTTCCTACAGCACACACACACACACACACACACACACACACACACACAATTCATATACATCAGAGGCAAAATACTCTTTCGTTTTGGGTTTTTTGAGACAGGGTTTCTCTGTAACACCTCTGGTTGTCCTGAAACTCTCTTTATAGACTGGGCTGGCCTCAGACTCACAGAGATCTGCCTGCCTCTGCCTCCCAAGTGCTGGGATTACAGGTGTGTACCATCGCCACCTAGTTTGAGGCAAAACACTCTTAAGCATAAAATTAAAAAAAAAGTAGTGTGCTAGGGGCTGGCTCAGCGGTTAAGAGCATTGCCTGTGTTTCTAAAGGTCCTGAGTTCAATTCCCAGCAACCACATGGTGGCTCACAACCATCTGTAATGAGGCTTGGTGCCCTCTTCAGGCATGCACGTAGACAGAATATTGTATACATAATAAATAAATATATTTTTTTAAAAAGTAGTATGTTTTGGAGGTGGGAGGCTCTGGTCCCAGGAACGGCCCTTCTGGGAGCGGCCTCGGGGAGCCCGTTTGTCCCTCTTA